AGGATGAGTCAACACCAAAGGTGCACGGGACGCTGTTCCCTTCCCACCAAAGGTGGCTCCTATTTTTCTACTTGCATTTTTTACCTGCTTTCGAACTGCTAGGTTGGCAGAAGCTGGGACAAGTCACGGGAGCTCGCTCCGTTACGCGGCGCTAGGGATTCGAACCGTGAAACTGCCGACCTTTCTAAGCGACAAGCTCAGCATCTTAGCCACTGAGCCACCCTGATTGCCAGAAAAGATTACACCAAATTCTAGCTCCGTTATGCAGCACTAGGGATTCGAACCGCCGAACTGCCTCCATGGTTACATAATCAAAATTCAGATGCCTGGCAACTGATTCATATTTATGACGGTTGCACAGCAACATGTGATTTCCCCACCCACCCCCGTTTGCGACAAGCAAAGTGAAAGTGGGAAGCCAGATTCATGTAACGACCGTGTTACTAACTTAACAGCCGCAGTGATTCGCTTAACAACTGTGGCAAGCAAGGTGGTAAGATCGTGCAAAATCCTCTCAACAAATGTCTCGCTTTAACAACAAAAATGTTGGGGCCCAATTGGGATCGTGAGTCGAGGACTGTCGGTAGTGAAAGAAGCAAGGTGCGTTTCTGAGTATCTCTCAAATTTCAAAATTTCTTGCTCAGTGCTTCGCGACCTCCATGCTGCAGAGATCGCAAGATAATGAGAAGGCGAATTCTCTTGCTACTTATCCACTTGAGATCACCCTATAATTTTGCTGAGTACTTTCAATTGATCTTCAATTCGCCTGAAAATTGTTATACGCTCTGGTAAAAATACTAAGAGATGCAGCTAATTTAGCTTCAATATTCTCCGTAGGGAATGTTTCATCCGAAATAGACTTCTGCAGACTTTAGCACAAGCGATGCGTTGGAAGGGAGATACAGAACTTCAGTCTGTAGTACATTTTGGAATACGTGGGTGGATGCTTTTCGTAGTAGTAGAAGTGGACTTAAGGGACTTTTCCACGGCTTTGCAATTAATGATCAAAGATACTAGCAAAGCCTCACTGGAATTGGAATAGTTGCTCTGAAACGATGCCAAAGCAAACA